AGACAATTATTTATGACTGTAGTGTCGTTAGCAATGCATACCTTTTATGTATTTTTAGTTAAATATGGCTAAATTAATTATAAAAACTGGATTCCGAGAAATCACACACAACATTACTTTCCAACTAAAAACAACAATAAAACAAAAACAATTACTTTTGGCTCAGCATGTGCAAGATGTAAAAGAAACCAAATGTAAAGATCATATGAGCAACACCATTGAAGCTCGTGTAATTCGTCAAACCTCAGTGACATCGACGCCATACAAAATATCCATTAATATAAGTTGTTTTTTTTCAGTTTGTGCAATCTTTGACGTAGTACATACATATTATGATATATTGCAATGCAATAATGTAATGGAATGTAAAGAAATAATTTAGTTTTTTACATATTGATTCTAGTCGTTATGTTACGAATGGAAAATGTGAGTGTGTATACAATCGGAGTGGTAGATGTAAACATATTACATTAACCACGAAGAAACCTTTTCCAAAACAAGTGAAGAGCAGCAGTGGGACAGACCTAGTGCCAGACAGTTCGCCAATGAAAAGTATTCAAAAGGGAAATACTTTGAAGAAATGTATCCACCGCCAAAAAAAATGCGGTGTGATCCTTGCCATTAGATGTTTGGGAATTGAAGGGATAATCAGCATTAAAGTTAATAATGGAAGCTGGTGCTTTGTGTTTTAATACGGAAGAAAATTATCGAAGCTGTTAAGAATTTAGTTGACCAGGTTGAGATTAATGTACAAATAAATGATTTTGAAGAATTTGAAGTTTATAAAAGTGTATTAACTTATGAAAAAATATAAATTTAATAATATTAAGGTAATTAATATTGTTAAAAATTCAGAACTTGTTGGGGCATTTCACGTCAAGCGGACAACCAAAAAAAATGAGGTCGTGAATTTTGTTTATACTCTGGTCAGTTATACTTCTAGTAGACGAGGATGTGTACACCCAATTTTTTTTTCGTATGATGCTTTATTGCTGAATTATGAGCGTTTCAAAATTTACTAAGAATGAAGTCATGAATTTTTGGATGCTTATTATCTGTATCAATTAATTGGTAAAAAAACTAAAAGGTATTGTTTCTTATAGTAAAAAAGTTGAAGTTTTTAATTTTTTTGTCGAATTCTAAATTTGATTTTTTTTTACGTATAGCAAACCGGAAGTGAAACGGACTCGTAGAAAATCTCCTTCTTGTTGAATACTTTTTTTCGAGCAGTAGTAAATAGAAGTCTCAGTCAACACATATAATCTTACAGGTGTAGTGAAAGCGTTATTAGACTGTAAACTTGCACGGGTTGCCAAAGGTTTTACGTTTCACCCAAAACCATCACATGGCCCTTTTCCATGAGCGGTGGCATGGACGTGCGTCTTTCTTAAAATCTCGTTTGTAGTAAAATAGATTCACAAAATTGAATCTATTCTTAAAATGTTGGGGAGCCCCATCTGTGATGTATTTCATGACAGAAACTGCAATTTTGTGCTCATCAAGGTGCTGGTGCAGTATTTTTTGAAAAGCGTAGAATGTGACAGTATCATGCTTTAAATCGTCCGAAATCATGATGATGCTTCCATGTTTAATATTATTTCCATCTTTATAATAATAAATAGGTGTTAAAAGCGTAGCTTAATCATTACTCCAATGAAATAATTGGGCAGCATCTTGTGCGACAAAACTGTAATTTTCGGCAAAATTACATTGAACGAGAATTTCGCCTTCACAGATGGTTTTCTTTAGAGTTCTAAAAAAAAGCGCTTGTTGTTCAGTGATATAAGCATGTGACTTCAAAATATCCAAAGCGTTAGACAATCAACAAAATCATCAGTAGAAAGCACTTGGGTGGCTGTCATGAAGCGATCTGTACCTTCCAATTTTTCAAAGTGAATATTTGTCACTTCATTTTCATCAAATACCATTTTTAAATGATCACGTATTCCGCTAAAACCGGGACAGGAAGAGCAACTCTCATTTGCAGATTTTGCTGTCTTTGTAGGCATTTCGGCGTTGGATTGACATACATCATCATATGTAGGCACACTTTATAAGATGAAAGATGCATGGTAGCTCCAGATGTTAGATTAGCCACGTCTCCTCCTCTCAACATTAATTTAACATTCTGGTGATCCATACATATACATACCATATGTGTTGCAGAGTCTCCAGCGAAGACGTATTGTTTGGGCCTTAGCCAGATTTCACACCGAAGTAGCAAATGCATGTAACGTAGCAAGTGGCGTGGCAAATAGCAGCGAAAATATTTAAAACGCACCTATGCGAATGGTGATGTACACACTGACGTGAAGTAACAGTGGCGTGGCACGTAGCATACCTGCTGCCACTCGCGAAGATAGGTTTGGCGATACATTTGCTACCTGTAATTTCCGTGCAGCCTGGCCCTGATGATTCGCAGTAGTTCGGAGGTAATGCATCTGAGTTGTAGTACATATTCCCAAAAACATCAGAGTAATAAAATGAAAGATACGCCAGATTTTAATGTGCAGTTTGTACAAGAAATAGAAAAGCACAATTGCTTGTATGACAATACAACTGCTCAATATAGTAACCGGGATATACAAGAAGTAGCTTGGAATGAAGTCGCAAAAATAAGGAAAGGAACTCGTAAGTTTAGTCTTTTATTCACAGTTTCTAATAAAGAATTTTTAGAAATAGTGAAAACTCAAATTGGGCAACTTGCGTTGCAAATGTGGTAGTTATATCTCAGTTTATTTTTGGGTTGAATTTGTTAAATGAAATATTTTCGTATACTCGTTTTATAAATGTTTGAAAATTGAAAAAAAACACATTCTGAAACGTACGTATCAATTTCGTAGAGAACAAATACAAGGAAAATTCATAAAAATGAAATCCTAGGTATTTTCGACACACAATATATTGTAGCTTCAGTTGGTGAACACAGAATTGTCTTTGCTTTTTACCAGGCCCCCTATGCCTAAGCGAAACTTTAGTGGTGCGATTTTGCACCACTGATTTTATATGTTAAGTTTATTGGATATCCCACGTAAGCAATACGAAATTTCAAACAAAGCGGTTCGCTTAGCCAGGCTCAAACTTGCACGCACTTGCAACTATACTGTCTCGGTGAGGTTAGTTTATCATACAGTTTAGTTGGGTAATTATAAAGAATGGCTGTTAGAAAGTATTTTTCACAAAAACAACTTAAGGCAGCTTTAGAAGAAATGCTTGACGAGGAGGGAATAGAAAGAAATGGTATGATAAATTTCTGATTTACAGAAAACAAATATTCAGTTTTTGAACTTTCTAGATGTGATTAATGCTGTTTATGTGCCGCCTGATGTAGATGAGCTTTCTGATGAGGAACAATTCGATGATGATGTGGTTTTGCCGCAAGGGGGCCATGAATCTCAAGACATAGCTGGAACATTCCGACATTGACCAGTATATAGAAGAATTTGATTCTTCAGATGAGGAAACCTTAGCGTTTAAAAAGCAAAGATTGTGTGGCAGTTCTGCGTCAGATACATCTGAATGGGTAAAGGGCAATATTCAATACACCCATTCTCATATATGTAAGGAACTTGAAAAAAAAAAACAAATTTTGATTCAAAAATTAGGCGAAAAATCCCCATTGGATTTTTTTTTTTTATTTTTCGATGATGAAATTCGGGAACTTATTGTTGAATTTTCTTTAAAATATGCTCAACAGAAAAACCTTCAGCAATTTCAATTCACGCAAAACGACCTTCTGAAATTCATAGGAATAATGCTTTTATCAGGTTATCATACTCTTTCGCAGACTATTATGTACTGGTCTAATGATGAAGACAAGGCAGTAGACATCGTAAAAATGTGTATGAGCCGCAACCGTTTTCATGAAGTAAAGCGCAATTTTCATTTATCTGATAATACAAAATTGGATAACAATGATAAGTTCTCTAAAGTCCGACCGTTTTTAAATCTTATGAATAAGAAAACCCTGCAGTGGGGTGTTTTTTCTACCCATTTATCGATCGACGAACAAATGGTACCATATTTTGGAAGACATTCATGTAAAATGTATATAAAGGGCAAACCTATAAGGTTTGGTTTCAAAGTATGGTGCCTTTGTTCCTAAGATGGCTACCTTTTTTATTCTTTTCCCTACGGTGGAGCTTCCGATAATAAGCGGTCAAGCTTTGGGCTTGGAGGGGATGTCGTTGTAAAAATATTAAGCGTTGTAGATCAACCGTTTTACCATCAGCTTTTTTTGATAATTTTTTTCCTGGTACAAATTATTCATTTATCTCAAAAAGAAAGGTTTTTTCGCTTCCGGAACTATAAGGGAAAATCGAACTTTACATTGCCCATTAACTATTTCTAAAACTATCACTAAAAAAGAATGAGGCACCTATGACTGGGCATATGACAAAAAATCCAAAATTTCTATGGTAAGATGGAATGACAATGCAGTTGTAACAATATGTAGCAATACTTTTAACGTTGAACCTATATCAAAGGTAAAAAGATTTGATCACAAACAAACGAAATACTGTAGACGCCGATTATCCGAACGCCGATTAACCGAATCGCCAATTATCCGAATCGGTCCTAAGCGTAATATAAAAAATTAAAACCAAGCACTGTAAGTAAGTACATAATGTAATTTTTCTTTTGTTTTGTTGTCACAAGTTGAAACTCGCTGGAGTCCAAATATATTTCAACTGTTATGGTTGAAAGTTAGAGGCAAGACACTACATGTTTTGCGTCGCGCGGCTTCCGTGAAACGGAACGTTTGTTTTTTTTCAACTCAATAACATTGAATTACTATTAGTGAGCTCCTCTTTCTTTCATTGTGAAGATCGCTGTTTTGAATGGTTACATATATGATAAGTGAATAACCAAAATGAGTGCAAAGCGGAAACGTGTCGTCCTCAGCGACTGATCAATAGTTCTGACCGCCCTAGGCTAATTATGAGGACGCGCCCCCGCTAGGTGTGTTACGGACGGCCTAAAAAGTAGTAATTGAGTAGAGTAGTAGTGTGAAANACAATCCTCACGTCCTTCTGAGTCCCCAGTCTCCTAATTCTATATCCCCTTTGGATGACCAAGAAGCGTCCAAATCTACGAAAGGAAACAAAATGACTCAAGGTAAATATTCAGTTTTTGAGTATAGATTTATTTCTTTATCCGCATGTTTTCTTTTTATATCACGCAAGTGAAAATGTATAATTTGGGGTACGCGTGGAATGTTTTTTATCCACGTCTATCTAAAAAAAAAGGACAGACGCATACGAGTGATCTTATAAGGGTTCCGTTCATCGTTCAGTACCTTAATCTGAGAACCATCTTAACATTGTAGTTGACAGAAAACATGTTCTCCCATATATTCAAACTGCAAATATAAATCTGTACGCACAATATTGTTTTGTTGAAAAAATTACGTCGTTATGTTCAGACCATAGACTATAATTTATAAGTAAAGAACTATTTTCTGTATTTTGTTTTTAAATTTTGGGTTGAGTATTTTCTGCAATAAAGGGGGGTGAAGAATGGTCAATTTTAATCTATTTTCTTAAATAATTAGAACTATTTAAAAATTAAACAAATATATATTTGAGGCCCTTACACCAAGCCCTTTCATTTGACCCCCATCTTCAAAATTAATTTATTTACATTATGCCTTCGTGTATCGGTTATAGAAATTCATGCGTGTACTAAATTTCAATTTATTCGGAACAAATTGACGGACAGACAGACAGACACACGAGTGATCCTATAAAAACTGTCCTTAACTAGTCAAACTTGTAAAATCTTTCGAACAAAGCCCTCAGTGAATTTATTGGATTTATTATTTATATGAAAATAAACGGCTATTGTTGGTATTTGTACGAATTTCCGTTTTCCATGTAGGCAACAGAATATCCCTATGTTTCGATTGTCAATTTGAATCGATTCTAGAATTATACCGATAATTATCACCTGAGAAAGGCCGCAGTAAATTGATCCATAGCAGTTCGATTATAAGGTACGCTTGTGTGTCTCGTTTGATTATTTGATTATAATGTTTTTTTTATGTAATGAAGAGGAAGAAATCTTAATTTACTGCTTTTATTTATCAATGAGAACACTACAAATTAAGGTCAACGCTTTGAAATTCTTTGTCTCCGTTTTGTATTTACTAAATGACCAGCAAATGTTTATGAAAGAAGTTGACAACTTTTAAAAATTTTCGTTCAGTATATTTGTACCTACCGTTGTCTTGTCAACTGCTTCCTTTATTTTTGTAATAAAGAAGAAAGAAATAGTCGCGTTGTACCAACAAGTTTTGACAAAAGAATTAACGGTTCGTTATTAGGGAATTATTATTTACGTAAGTATTTAATTAAGTACGTATACAATTCTTTAGTTTGTTGTAAAATTATTAATTCTACCGGAATGTATACTGCAAATGTAAATTTTAAAACAACAAATTCTTTTTAATCTACCCTAATATTATTTTGTGTTGTACCAGTTAATTTTGACATTGAATCTGCCCTATTTTCTTTGTTAAAAATCGCATTCTGTGAAGCATACTTTAAGAAAGGATTTCGAGGGATTAGTGCCCCGTCATATGATGTAATAGTTTTCCAAATCCTGGGAACAGTTATTGAAATTTTAGTTGATCAGAATTTATGTTATTTATTATTAAGTACTTTTAATGGCCAGAAAAGTTTTGTTCTTTCTTTTAACAATTTCCTGTTCAATTTTGAAAGTGTTGTTATAGTATTTCTTAAATAAACATTGCAAAATTACTTATAAACTAAAAATCGAAATACCTATAATTATATGCATTTTACATCTTAAAAGGAGAATCGAAATTTTTCGTAATAGCCCAGGCAGTGTGGGCGAGTGAGTGGGAAAATTATTCAGATTAAATATACATGAATATCGCTTTTTTGTATGCTTCAAAAAGTTATTGAAAAATATGCGAATATTTAATATATGTTTAATAAATTGCACCAAAAAAAAATTCTTAAAGATTTTATGTTTTAAGTTTTTAAAAGGCACACGCTTGCTGGCTGATCGTCCGCAAGGCGCTAAATATAAAATGCGCT